AAACATATTTACTTTGAAAGGATGTAAAGTCTTATGTACTCATTTAGCAATACAAAATTTTAGAGTAGTTTGACTTTCAATTCAGTGGCTAAAGAAAATAGGACCAAAAGAAATAAAATTCTCCTAAATCCAAATTCAGGCTTAAATAAGTGGCTGCTCGAAAATATCAAGTGACTGACAGAAGGCTCACTCTATGACACAGGAAGTCATGGGTAAGTTCATTGCATAAGTCAGTAGTCTGAAGATGGGACTCCGATTTCCATTTTAGGGCCACTACTCAGATAAGAAGTCTACGTTTTGCTTTGGATCCAGAAAGATTCAAGGAGTGAAAGTAATTAGAAATTGCATGTGGTAAAACAGAAGATGATTTGAAAACACACATGGAAAAATAGTTGGGCTGTTGATTTTATATGGATTATCCACTGTAGTTATCATGCTGTAGAGTAATTATTTATTTGCACCTCTCTTTTACTAGACTTGGAATTCCTCCTGGGTAGGAACTGCATATTATTTATCTTTGAGACTCTAGAGTCCATTGTAATAGTGATGGATGAAGAAAAGGACAGAAGGGAGGAAAGGGAGTGGAAGGAATGAAGGAGATTTTTTTAGAAAACTAAAGAGAAATGACTTGAGAGACAAAAGAAACAGGGTAGCAGAGTATTTCAATATGAGTGACATAAAAACATTCCATCACTTAGACGCGATGAAAAAAAAATACGGCGAGGATGTTATTAAGAAAATGTGGACACAAAACAATCTTCCCCAAATACCATGTCATTCAAACTTGGGTGATGACTGCTTCTCTAAATAATGGCAAACTTACACAACTTAAAAAAAAAAAAGATCTATGTAGAACTTTCTTTCCAGTCAAAATAGACGTATCTTGTGCAGAAAGAAGAACTTGGTGAGTTTAGATTCGTGTCTGTGCATGACACGTAAGTGTTTCATTATTAGGGTGTCACCTCAGTGGATCACGGATACAAAGCAAAATGGCACACTATTCAGAAATCCTAAAAATTTACTTAGACAGAGGCTTCTGTTGTTAATCTGTCTTCATCAAATCTTTCTATGTTAGAAATAATTGCCTAAAAAGTAATTCCCTCCTCCTAAAATTAAATGCGAGTATTCACAAAATGGAATCTTTAGATAAGCATTCTGCTTGATAGATTTCAGTACTTAGCTGCCATGGAAACATCTGAAAGTCACGCAGTCATGTAAGATGACCTGTAGGACTACAGGGTGCATTAAAAATGCAAATATTGTTTATGATGAAAAGTAAGCAAAAGTGACATTCAAGGCACACTGCTAAGTTTAATTTCCTGTCTTGCCTTTGGTATGCAGTAAAAACCCTTTGTCTTGATCTTCCAAGCAATTGAGCCAAATGGATGTTTATAAACAAACAAAAATGACTTTAAAAAATTGAAACATTATGTAGGGTATCTTCATATTTGCTCCGAACTGAGTATTCTGATTAAAAGTAGAAAAACATTTCTTTGTCTTTTTGGTGTAGTGCTATGGACACATAAAAGTTCAGACTTATAAAAGTATTTTAAGTTATAAACTTACAAAAACTTACTAGGGGGATGGGTAATTTTGATTTTCCAAGACAGTTATTCCCTCCCAAGAGAATGCATTACGTTATTTGTTTTAATAGCAAACTTGTCTGGTACGTTAAAATTAGGTTTAATTCATAGAATTATGACTTAATAAAACATTTTCACAAACATTATATGTGCATATCAAGGAAGATAAACACACACATTGACAGTTTATATAGCCAAGCATATTTGGAAGACATAAAATAGAATCAAGCATTTACAATCTCACTGGGCTATGTATTGCAAAATTCACAGTATTTTCTCCCTTCCCTAGCTGTTAAATACTTTGTGATGAAAATCATAGCAATAATGATCCTAATAATTATTATTATAAATACAGAACAGTGCTTACTTGGGCCCACTCTGTTCAATGCTTTTCCTGCATTCTCTCTTTTAATCCTATCAATCACCTTAGAAGGGACTATTGAGACCATCATTTTAGAAATGGGAATCTTAAAATGTAAAAAAAAAGACAGGTGACCTGCCCAACAAGATCCCACCGCTGTGAATGAGTGTCTGGAATTGAAATATAGGTAGTTTGACACAAGAGTCTGTGCTCGAACCCATATGTTTTCATAATTCTGAGCCATAATGAGCTTTGAAAAATGTAAATCTTATCATACCACTAAGTGGACTGGAACCCAGCAATGGTTTCTATCTCAGTCAGAATAAAATCCAAGAGGCTCACCACTATTTCCTTTAAGGCTCTGACCACCTCTTTTGTTAACCATCTCCCTCCCTCTGCCCTTATCACTCTAACCTTCTTGTTGCTCCTCTAACCTTGCGCTCCTCTTGGTGCACTTGGCTTTGCACTTGGTATCCTCTGCCAAAAACACTCTTCTCCAGACTTTCATATCATTTCTTCCCTCCTCTCCTGAGGAGCCTACTCGAATGTCAACTCTTCAAAGGGACTTTCCCTTATCACCTTTACCAAAATAAAGCTCACCTCACTCTGTAGGTCCTCTTCTCTTAGCTAATTTTGGATAGAACATATCACTACTTTAAACATAGATAACTATACAATGATAGTTATTCATTCACTAGTTTAGTGTCTATTCCGTGGGAACTTATTATTATTATTATTATTATTTTGAGACAGTCTCACTATATCACCCTTGGTAGAGTGCCATGGCATCACTGCTCACAGCAACCTCAAACTCTTCGGCTCAAGCGATTCTCTTGCCTCAGCCTCCCAAGTAGCTGGGACTACAGGCGCCCCCCCACAATGCCTGGCTATTATTTTGTTGTAGTTGTCATTGTTGTTTGGCAGGCCCGGGCTGGGTTCGAACTTCCCAGCCCTGGTGTGCGTGGCTGGTCCCCTAACCACTAAGCTACGGGCACCGAGCCAGGGACCTTATTCTTCATCTCTGTTACCACCAGTACCTAGAACAGTGCCCGACAAACACACAAACTCAAAATGTCTTTGTGGGATGAATTAAAAATTCAGTATTTGTACATTTTTAATATAGAGTATTTGTAAAATTAAAAACACTACTATCAATGGATAAGTAAGAGTAACAAATGATGATTAGAATTGAAAATAAAGGCAGCGCCTGTGGCTCAAAGGAGTAGGGCGCCGGCCCCATATGCCAGAGGTGGTGGGTTCAAACCCAGCCCTGGCTAAAAACTGCAAAAAAAAAAAAAAGAATTGAAAACAAAAGGTGGTACTTGGGGTTTTATACCATAGACATAGCCTTTAAAGTGGTCCATATCTATGCAAATCTGTATGCACACAACAGAGGAAAAACTGGACCCTTATAAAAATCATATATAGATACTTCTATACCTGGGGGTCAACAGGAAAGCATCTGATGTAACTTCCATTTGGAAGGTACAAGACATGTTGTGGCAAACTCACTGCTTCAGGTGTCAACCAGACAGGTGTAAGATGGAAAAAGTAAAGAGGTCTGTGTGTGAGTTAAAGTAACAGAACTGCCACTCACCAGGCAGGTTGTGCTGCATCTGAGGGACTCAGCACAAAGGGCTCCACACCCAGTGCTCACATTATGAGCGCCCTGCCCTACGCAGTTCCTACGTGATGGGCTACGGTAACTGCTCAGGACCAGGGCATGGATGTGCCTTGAGGTTTGGTACACTCAGGATATGTAAGGGTGCCTAAAGGGAACACAGCCTATAAACCAGGAATTCTACTCCCGGATAGCTGCATAACTAAAATGCATGCACTTATGCCCCCAAGAGACATACCAAATATTCACTGCAGTATTATTTTTAACATCTCCAAACTGGAAATGACCGAAATTCCTTCAACACTAGAATGGATAAATCATGGTATATGCATATAATGGAATACGTTTACCATTGAATAAATTACAGATACACACACACATTAAAAAAAAAAAAAGTAACAGCAAAAAGGCAAACATTTTGGTATGAATCCTCAATCCTTTCCCCCTGGATTTCTCTTAAATTCCATCAGATCTGAAATCCTCTCAGAAATGCTTCAGTTAGCCCCATCGCACCCATCTCTCAGACTTCCTCTTAAAATGACTTGATTCTAAAATGGATTTGAACCTAAAAAGGACCCCCAACTGGACCATGATCAGTCCTATGAACTGACCGATAGCCAAGCACCACGAGAGTCAAGCTGGACTAAATCCCCAAGGCTCAGTCTCAGGACTTTAGTTCTGGGGAGAGGCCTGGGTAGCGGGACGATTCCCAGGGGAGCAGCCAGTGGAGAGCACCACTAGGCAGCAGTCTGCTTTGTGCAGTGTGCACACATGTTAGTGAGACTTCTGTTTAAATTCAGACTAGTCTGGGCAATATTACATTTTCCAAAGAACACAAAGAGAAGGTCTGTTTATTAACTTGAAGGAGAGAAGTGTCTCCAAGACACTTGAAGTATATTAATAAAGATAAGTAGGAATAACAATATGATATATTTTTTGTTCTTTCACAGTCATGATGATATTAACCACAATATCTGCACAAAGGTGGACATAATGAAAGGAGATAGATTTTTATAAGAAATAAGTATATTTTTAAGAATACAAAATATCAGTGCTATGATTGACGACATATTGCTTGTCTTAATACCACAACAGGTATGGGATACCATAGAGAAGAAAATAAAATTTTACAATAAAACAACAACAACAACAACAAAACTCTTCCTTTTGGTCTGAGGTTGCATATATTACGTTTCATGGCAGAGAAGGGCATTTTCTTTAAGAAATATACTGATTAACTTCTTAAAACAGAAATCCAATGAGAAAAATTTATATGTGAAAAAAATGTAAAAATAATAAGCAGAGCATTAGTTAAAAGGGTATCAAATTAAGTCAATATGAAAACTAGTTTCTCCAGCATACAGTATATAGAATTAGTATATTTTCTAAAATATGATTAATACTAATTTTTAAATAAGAGATGAATCCAACTTACTAAAGATTTATCAGGATAGACTCCAGCTCTCAGCAGAGATGCCTTCCAGCTGTCTACATCCTCCTGGGAGTCACATGCCAGCTCAAGGAAGCGATAGTCTTTGTATACATTCCTGAAGTTGGGAAAAAAAAATCCTTTCAGTTCTGAGCCAAATTCAAAATGATTTTATATCACTGCAGACAATGGTGATTTCAATGACAACCGATAGATACTTCTCTGACAGTCATTGGAGGAAAACAAAATAACTTTTAAAAAAAATTAATGAGTTCCAAAATGTATTTACAGCATCATTTTTAAAACAAAACCTCATACTACAGAACTCAAAATTATCTCTATCACTCAGCAATTAGAAAAAGAAATACAAATGCACTTAATATGACCTACTGGGTGCCAACCAACTAAAAGTTGTGCTGTAGTGGAGGAATTTGCTATTGCCCAGTAATTAGATCAGTTTTCTGAAGTTACAAGTCCAAATAATGACTAGCTCATTAATCTTTAAGATGCCTGGCAATAATCTTACAATTGTAAATGATGATGCTATACTCAAACAGAAATGCTAATCAATTGGAAAAGACAAGACTGATAACCAGTGATGAATAATAGAGTGAGATGCCGGTGAAGTGCATATTTATAAGCTCCATAATACTATAACTGAATATTTTTTTTCTGATGATAGAATAATACAAACACATATGATTGATACATACTTTGAGGATTTGGAAATGAAATAAAAGCATAAAAATGGTAACAATCATCCAGATTCTCCTGCTTAGAGATAACAGCATTTTCTTACACTCTTGTTCTATGCATTCTTCATACAGCTGAGGTTCTCTCTCTCTCCCTCTCCCCCTGCTTTCCTGTCTATCTCTCTATTAATATTGTATTCTGCTTTTTCACCTACTGTTATATAATGACCATTTAATCATGCCACTAAGTCTTTATAAAGATCAAATTATAATGGCATAATATTCATTAATATAAATGTCTGATGATTTACTTAACCTCTTCCTAATATTAGATAATTAAATCATTTCCTTTTTGGTTTTGCTATCATAAATAATGCTTACATGAATATTTTACCTATGAGTATGTGTCACACTTATTACTACCATTTTCTGAGGAGAGATTCCTATATGTAAGAGTCACAGGATTAAAAGCCAGGATCATTTTTAAGACACTGATACATATTCCCAATTACCTTTCCGAGTAACAAGATCTTGAAGGGATTAGCAGAAGGGATAGAACAAATGAATTCTATGCATAAGATCAATGGACTTATTGGAAGTACTGTTGGATCTTTTGCTTAATTATACATATATCATGTGTAAGAAGTTAAATCAAACTAGTAAGGAGAACAAAAGACATACTGCCATTTTTGCTTTAATGATGTCTGATGTGAATACCAATAAGAAAAAGAAGGGGGAAATATAGGCAAAACGCCTATATGCCTCTGGCCAAAAAAGCCATTTGAGAGAGAGCAGTGAAAAGACTTTGTGCAAGCATACTTGTAAGAAACTGAGGCAGAATTCCATGTGGTCAGGTTGGTTGTGAGCCTAACATGACCAAGGCTTTGGCTGGAATAGCATCTCCAGACTGTGTTAAGGAATGAAGGTTGACTTTATAAGGCCAATGAAAAAGCCCTTTGGAAAACTGGCCAGATACCCATCAGTAATCCTGATCTGTGGTAAGTGACGAAGGTCGCTTGCTGATGGGTCTGGGAATGGAAATGTGCTCAGGGACCTCAAGAGAAGAAGAATTTACCCAATGCATACAGGTATCTAATGGCACAGATGAAACTTGGGCTCATGAAAGGCTTTTGAGAAGTCCAGCCTGAGAATTCCTTATAAAAGTCTCCAGCAAAAACCCCTTGACTTAAGGCCTACATGAGAGTAGAGGTTTGCACACAAATTCCTGTATGCCCAAGAAGTTTCTTTATGCCTTATTTAAAGATCAGAAGTAACAGCCTCCAAATGGCAAGGCCAGCAAGGGCAGGTATTCAATCTACCTTGTTCCTCCCTAGCCTCAGGCATCTTCAGATAAGAACAAAGAGGTAATGGCTAACAACATGTTCTCCATTAAGATTGGGTTATGTTGATAGGGTTATATTAAAAGGTGTATGTTGAGTGGATTATCAGATGTCAAATGATGTTTAATTGGATCAATGAGGTCATTGCTGTATGTACAAAATTCCCTATCTAAGCCAACTGCAAATAAAGAAGCACGCCATTTTGCCTGAGCGAGCAGATGGTCACCTTTATTTAAAACACAATTTCAATAAGCCTGCTTATTCTCTGTGACATTGCTTTTCCGTGAGACCCTTACAGCAACATTCCAGAAAAGATAGTCTAATTTAGACAGAAACTAGAAATACACAAGATTAACACTCTTTCTTCTTTCCATACTGTTTCCTAAGGTAGGATCATTCATGTCTAAGCATCTCAACTTCCACCTATATCAGATGGCTCACATGTTTTTATCTCCTGGCTCAACCTGCCCCAGATTTCTACTGCCTACTGACTGCTCTTGAGCCCTGGAACAAACCTTAATGTGAACAAATGAACTGGGGATGTCCAACTCCATCTTCTTACAGTGTTCTCATTTCATGTACCAGTGGTGTAATCCAAATACCCTGGGGATATTTCTTGGTCCTTCCATTCTCACCATCCCTCTTACATTCTACTACCAAAAATGTCCTCCTCTTTTTTGACTTTGAAACAGAATCCTACTCTGTTGCCCCAGCTAGAGTGTAGTGGTGCTATCATTGCTCACTGCAACCTCAAATTCCCCAGCTAACCCAGTCCTCCTGCCTCCTCCATCAGCCTTCTGAGTAGCCGAGACTACAGGTGCACACCACCAACCCCAGCTATTTTTAGTACAGACGGGGTCATGCTCTTGCTCAGACTCATCTCAAACTCCTGACTTCAAGTGACTCTCCTGTCTCAGCCTTTCAGAGTGCTAGGATTACCAGCAGGAGCCACTTTACTGGGCCATGTGCCCTCCTTAAATTGGTCTCTTTAGGTTACTACATATGCAATATCCAATGTCCTTAAGGACTAAGTTTGACACTTGATATCTCTGACGTATCACTTTGACACTTCTTCTTTTATTTTTATTGTGGAGGTACATCTTTGTTCTTTCAAATGCATGTTTTGGCTTGTGATTGTCTTTCAAAAAAGTTTTAGGAGAATTTTTTATGAAACCATAGATAAGTCAAGAATTTGTGTTATTTTTTGAATGTGAGTTCCATCATTGAACAAATGCAGCACAGACAGCTTGAAATATCAATGAAGTATTTGGGAAGGATATGCCTCTTAAATGCACAGTACATGGATGGTTTGAGAAGTTCAATTCTTGTGATTTTAATCTTGAAAATGAGCCACATGGGTGGCCTGAGACCAAGGTAGATAATGATCAGTTGAAAGCTATAGTGGAAGTGAATCCATCTCAATCTAAACATGAATTGGGAGCAAGGTTTGACAATACTGGACCATTTCAACAAATCAACAAGATAAAGAGGCTAAATAGATGCATTCTGCATGAATTAAATAGTGTCAGAAGAGAAACAGTCTGGAAGCTTGCCTTTCTTTGTTGTCACAACATAAAGGTGAACCATTTCTATTCTGTATTGCGTGATAAAAAATGGACTCTTTTTGATAGTTGCCAAATGTTTGGCACAATGGCTGGATAAAGATGAAGTGCCAAAATACAGTTCAAAACAGTCATCAAGAAATCCAATGGTGTCTGTTTGGTGGTCCAGCACTGGTATCATCCACTACAGCTTCATGAAACCTGGTGGCTGATTACCTCTACCGCAACCAAGAAAAGAAATGCTAAGGATGCTTGTGATTAACTGAGATTGGTCAATAGAGACAGGCCAATCCTCTTGCAAGACAATGTTCAACCTAGGAACACTGTGCCTGGTAAATGCCAGTGTGCCACTTACCCAGGGATCCTTAACTTTTCCCAGACAACCTAAGGTACAAAAGTTTGAAGTGACAGACTACAACAAATAGAATGAGTAATTTTAATTAGAAGTGGGACATGTTTAAAAGAAATAGATTCTTCAAGTAAGAACGTATTTTATTGTTAGAGACTATTATTTTTGAGAGAAATAGGATCTCTGTCACCCAGGCTAGGGTGCAGTGGCACAATCATAGCTCACTGCAGCCTTGAATTCTTGGGCTCAAGTGATCCTACTTCAGCCATTAACTACCCAAGTACTTGAGACACATGCCACCACACTGAGCTCATATTGAAATCATGTCTTTTCTAGAGAGCAGAAAGGATGAAGAATTATCTTGATAGAATCAAAATACAATAGAACCTCCATAGTTGACCTAATTTTCATAGACCGGACATGCACCACATGTACATACCAGTATAGCAAGCCTAGTTCTTTATGTTGACCAGCTCTGTCTGTTGACCAGTTTGTCCCTTGAGTGGTCAGCTTACTAAAGGAGTTCTACTGTATATTAGTTTTAAATTATCTAATTGCTTCTCCACCTAGTTTTTAGCTACCAACTAGGTTTCCATTGGAGGCATTCCCACTTGGCAGTCTGAATTCCGTTACGATGTAAAGGTATGGGAAAGGAAAAGCTGGACAAATGTCACGGGACCTGTCAGCCAGCTGGAAAGCACAGAGAGTAAAGAGGGTGCAGACTTTCCACATTCTCTGAGCAGATCTGAAGAATTCAGCTTTGGCCCATTATCACTGACCTTTCTCCAGAGTATTTTCTTTCAGGGGCTCTTCACATGGAAAATCTTAATTTTTTTTTTCCCCTTAAAGGATAGCCAAATTCTTGAGAGGGAAAATAATTATCTGGTTGAAACATTAGAAGAGGGTCAAAGGCTTCTGGTGGCTTTGGCGGCTTCATTTTTACCCATTTTTGAAGTCTCATCTTAGGCTGTGTCTAGACACATCCAAGGAGAGTTGGATGCAGGTCTAAAATGCTGAACTGAACTGATTTACTGGAAGTCTCATAAATTCTGTCGATGAAGCTTCCAGGTTCTCACCACACGCTGTAGCTGTATAGATAACCCACAGCAATTTGTACTGACTGCATTTTTTTGTTTAGTCTATTTCAGCTGCAATCATGCAGATATGAGCTTCTG